AGTAATTTAGGGAAACTACCTTATGAGTCATTCCAAGGTGGGTATGTAAAGGTAGCTCGTAGAGTGTTCAGTTTCTGACTTTGTTCAAGTTCCTGGGCACGAACCAAGGTTTTTGGAGGCGTCGTTGGATCCAAGTCCCAAGCCGACGACTTCAACAAGGTGAACGCCCTCAACTGGTGGTGGGGTGGGCACAGTGACCTTAATGCAATGATCGACTTCGCGAAAGACTACATGGTCGAAGCGAACAAGCCCGGTAGCTGGGTACTGTTCTGTAAACCCCTATATAGCTCCTATACTCCGTATAATCACCATAGAACCCCTATATATGATCTTGAGTTGCAGTGCTGTGGTATCAAGTGCTAACTTCGTTGACAAATGTGTAAGCCATCAGCGCCCAGGGGATCCGCTTCTGGATAACAAGGGCGGGGAGGATGGTATTCCGAACATGCCCAAATGTACCGGCGAGTGTGACACCTCTTCGGACTGTGCGGCAGGTTTGCGATGCAAGCAGCGAGATGGTGTCGAGCAGGTGCCCGGATGCCGGGGAGAAGGGATTTCTGGTTGGGACTACTGCTATGACCCGGAAGCCCTGGACAGCAGTCACGGTGGAGACGGCTCTCCGAATATGCCCAAGTGTGCAGGAGATTGCGACAGGGATTCCGATTGCGAAGACGGTTTAAAGTGCTTTCAGCGGAATGGTTTTACGACCGTTCCTGGGTGCTCAGGATCTGGCACAAAAGATTGGGATTATTGCTACGACCCCAATGGCTTGGATAGCAGCCGAGGCGCAGATGGGTCTCGAAGCATGCCGAAATGTGCTGGTGACTGCGACAAGGATTCAGATTGCGCAGGAAATCTGAAGTGCTGGGAAAGAGATGGCTTTACTTCCGTCCCTGGGTGCAATGGAATTGGCGTGAAGGATTGGGATTATTGCTACGACCCTGTGGATGCTTTGCCACCGCCCTTGGACAGCAGCCCAGGCGTTCATGGTTCTCCGAACATGCCTAGATGTGCCGGAGATTGCGACAAAGATTCAGATTCTGGGTTGCTGTTAAGG